GCTGCCATTTCACCCATAAAATTTTAGTTCACTTAGTGTAATTCAAGATTATTTTCTTTAAATTATTTTCTTTAAATTAACACTGCACTGTATTATATACTGTCAATATGTAAAATATATTTAAAAATGACCAATAATTTGACTGGAAACACAGAAAAAAAAACGTTTATGTTGAAGAGTCTCAAACAAGATGTTCCTTCCTCTGAACTGGTAAACAAACTGACGCCAAACTTGGTTTGTTGAGTGGCTGTTTGGCGTGCAAAAAACTAGCCTCCTGTACTTCAATTATGTTCAATAATTGTTAAAATGACTAAAAAAATTAATATAAAACTTTTAAAATTATTGAATAGTACAAACTTCTTGATATTTACTAAAATGGTAAGGAATTTAAGCCCTAAAACCGATTACTGTATTGACAGAATAATACTACAGCTGGTGGGCAGCCAAATGCAGGCAAAAACATGTTGGGAAAAATTCGTAAGGAATTCGTTAACCGAGGGTTTGCTCGTTAACCGAAGTGAAGAATCTTATGGAAGGTAATTCGTTAACTGAAATTTTGTTAACCAAGGTGCTCGTTAACCGAGGGATCACTGTAGATGTGGAAGTGATCCTAAAATACTGGTTTATATCTTAGCCTGGAGCCGTGGACCCAATATTGCTTCTCCCTCCCTCTTTCCACAAGTGTGTTGTTGAGGTTAACAGGAAGTGAGTGTTGGTTGTGCAGTTCTGTGTATGACTAGGAGTATGGAACACACTAGTTCTGTGTGACTTACAAGCCTCTAAAACTGCAGTTTCTTTCTTACCTATTTCTAATGTCTAATGTTATTTGTAGGGAAGGTTAATCACGGTTAATTTACCAGCTGCTGATAGGGCAGAGTTTTCGTAGGTCTAAGGCAAATTCCTAAGATACTGTACTCTGTCTTGGCTCAGTTATAAGCCAGGATATGAGGATCAACCCCACACTTTTATCCCAGAATTGTGTTAAATAAGTATAATAATGTCATCTAGTACAGGGTATATCATTTTTATGTGGTACAGTAATTTACTTTAAAACTTTTTCCAACTAACATTTGTGTTGATTTTTACTTTGTTAATTCTTTTGTTTTCATTTTGCTTAGAAATCATATCAATTGTACTTTTTACAAACAAATTTCCCTTTTTAATTTTTACTTCCATCAGTAAGAGAGCCATCCCCTACAGGTGGGGTTCGAGAGTGACAGTGACATGCAGGGAGATGGAGAGGCAGCAGAAGCAAGGAGAAAATTATCTGGGTCTAAAAAACTGCACCAGTGCCCATACTGCTCATACTCAAGTCCCCAGATAGCTACTTTACGGAATCATATCCGCACTCACACTGGCGAGAGGCCATACTCCTGCCCCTATTGTTCCTTTCACTTCTCACAAAAAGGTGCCCTTAAAAGGCACATCCGTAGTCACACGGGAGAAAAACCATACTCCTGTCCTTATTGTCTCTTCCGCTCGGGTCGTGTTTGCCATCTAAGACGTCATATTCGTACTCATGGGAGACCAGTTGCGGAGGTAATGGGGAAGAGCAAAAAACCAATGCTTTCCCCCACTAGTCATGAAAATACAGGTGCCTCATAAATGTAAAAGTTTGTGCAACTATCTGATTACATTTTGAGGAGAGTTTGAAAACTGACTGGTGACCAGTGTTTTTACAGTGCATTTAAAGCAGGAACAGAGGATTAAGAGAGGGCAAGGTGTTATTGACACCTATTCCTAAATTTTTATAAGTTATCTAAAAAAACCAAAAAACAAAAAAGACTGAAGTTACGTGTCACATATAATGTTAATTGTCATAATCATATTCCCCCCTCTGGTGAGAAGGGTTATGGAATTCATGGACTTTACAACACATTGACTAATTTTAAAGTGCTGAAAATGGATCCTTGTGATATTGATATGAGGAATACTGTACTGTACAGCAATTCATATTGGAGATCCACCTAGGATAAGAGCCCAGTAAATAATAGTAAAATAGTGCTTTGTGAGAGGCACTTTTCTGAGTGTTATACAGTACAATGTAATCTTGGAAACATTTGTATATAAATTAACATTTGAAAAGTTTTAGTTTATTAGTTTATAAATAAAAAGATATATATATATACTGTACTGTATATATATATATATATATATATATATATATATATATATATATATATATATATATATATATATATATATATATATATATATATATATATATATATATATATATATATATATATATATATATATATATATATATATATACTGGATAACACAACAATATCATACTTTATGTACTATGTTAGATGACTGTTGATAAGATGCAGTAAACATTGTTTTATTATACTGTATAGTAGCTGTAATTGGTCCTTTTTATCAAAATAAGTAGCTTTATAATTGTATTTTTTTAATGAAGGTAGTTGTGTATGTGAGACTGAATGTGATAGTTCTTAAGGTGACTGTTTTAGATCAAAACCACTTTGATAAATTCAGTAAAGTACTATATGTATACAGTACTGTATATGTCTTGAGCATTGTTGACACTCTCATGCATATATTTTATCCTGATTTATTCATTGTTATGGCAGTGATGGAAAGAAAACTTCATGATAGTTGGTACAGTAGCATATGGAAGACATAAGTTAGGATTACCACAAATTTAGTTTAAATATGTATTTATTTATTTTTTTAATGAGGAATAACCTACCTGGGCACAGGTCATCGACCTACAACGGGTCCCTGGGGGCAAAATAATAAGAGTAAAAAAAATTAGAATTAGAGGAAAAAATCAATCTATACTACGAAGATGCCGTAAAACCAGCTTTTTGATGTGAGACATTGTAAGAGGGTGGAAACACAGAAGAAGGCAGAGCATTCCACAGTTTGGCTGTGTGAGGAAAGAAGGATGTACTATAACGGGTTATTCTAGTATGACCGACAGCCACACAGAAATGGTAGGCACCGTGGGCAAGATGAGTGTTACGAGCCCACGGCCTTGCCGACGGTACACAGGATGCCAAATCCACCGAACATTGCCCGTTAAAGTACCTGTAAAAGAGAGAGAGTGAAGCAACATTGCGGCTTAGAAAAAGGGAAGAAAGATTGTCAACTAAAGGAGAGTCAATAAGACGAAATGCTTTGGATTCCACCCTATCTAGCAGTTGGACAGAAGAAGAGCCACCCTAGATATGAGAGCAGTACTCCAAGTTAGGACAAATGAATCCCTTATATACTTGAAGCAATCACTCAGGAGTGAAGTAGCTACGACATCTGTACAGCATTCCCAGCTTTTGGGAGGCAGCTTTAGCAATGTTGTGGATAATGTTAAGACATCATCAACTTTCAGGTTATAGTCACATATGTACATTATCATTAGTGTTTTCATTTCAGTAAAATTTCCTTAACTAACTGCCAAAATTTTTCGGCTTTCACCCAAAATCCAAACAGCTGTCACAATACGGGATTAAATATTTTTTTGTAATTCATGCAAAAGCTTTTTTGTTTGTGTTTGTATGCTGTGTTACATGTTATGCTGACACCAATATACAGTATACAGTGTACTACGTATTTATACACACAAGTGACCCAGTTCATTATTTTGTTAAATATATTTTTATAACTTGATATCAGTCATGAGTCACTTGAAAATATGTCCACAAAGACAGTGGGTTCAGGAACTTTGGGAAGCCCAGAATTCTGTGGCTTGGGTTAATATGACAGTTGGCCATTGCCCCTCTTGATCTGAGAAACTACAATGCAGTTGCCTGAAATTTAGGAGGTAATGGGTCATAAGTTTGCACAATGAATTAAAACCCATTTACTGAGTGGGAAACAATTAGCCTCACATCCAGCTACAACCTCCTTGAGGTAACACTTGTCCCCGGCTCCATCTAATTTAAGGAGAAGATTATGACCTGCCCTCGAACATAGTGTGCACCATGAACTTTGCTAGGCTTTGCTGCCTTAGTTGTTGATGCAGGGAAAGAATACAGAATATGAATTATCATTTGCAAGTTATTACTTTCCTAAACAGGGAATAGCTGATGTATGATTTATTATTATTATTATTATTATTATTATTATTATTATTATTATTATTATTATTATTATTATTATTATTGCAGTATTATTATTATTATTATTATTATTATTTTTATTATGAAGGAGCTGCCCCCATACTTGTAAGAGGAATCAGTGTCATAGTTTGGGGAAGTGAGAAGAGATGAATAACTGTGATTTACACCTTGACTCGGTTTGTACATAAAATCCTCATCAAGAATCATTAGTAGTGTTCTTTAAGGGGTTGTGTACTTATCCATGTTCATTTTTGTGTGAAACATGGACTGGCCTTTCTTGGAGTAGTACAAGATGATTGGGCCCTAAAGGTTGAGTTAGTGGATTATCTCCTCAAGTATGAGCAGCTCAAAGGTTCTATCCCCAGGAATGGTTTCTCAGAGGGTTTATCAAGGCCATATTCTCAATGTTAATATTGCTCTTGTTAGCACATAACACCCTATTGGCTTGTTTTCCTTTGGATTACTGGATGAATTGTGTTAATGGATTCTTACTTATCTGATAGGCTTTAATTTCCCCGTCCTCAACATAATCCAAATTGTCTTCAGTTTACATCTGTAACTTTGAGTCACAGGTAAAATAGAGATATAGTTGCCTAACCTTGTCCTTAATTTACTTGCCTAAATTTTTATGGTGGTTTATTTTGTTTTTTGGGTGGCTAGTTAGTAAGTATGGTCTTTATCTATTGTTGCTTTGCATTTGATTTGCTGGGGTTAGGAAGGATTTTTATAATGGAAAGAAATGTTACTCCTCCCTGTGACTTGAACAACTCCAGGAATGGCCTAGAGTTGAGGGTTTAGGCATATTCAGCATTGTTTGTAGCTAAGACATGGGTGGTTCTCCCCTGTTGTCCCCTCTATTGTTAGCTAGTTTCTGTATTCATGAGTCATTTGTGTTGCTGGTAGTTGTTGACAAATTATAAATATTCGATTGATTATGAAACCCCACTTTATAACTGAGGCTGAAAAAATACTCAGATCCCACTTTTCTTTTGTGTTCCTTGTATTTGTTATTTTATTTATTTATTTGTTTATTTGTTTAACTGAGCCTCGTAAGTCAAGAATTGAGTAACATTGGACTATGAAATCTCACAACTCACAGTTCTCAGCCTTTTGGAAACTGGAGCTTCTTGGACTCCCCTTTTTTAACTGTTGGTGTTGGGAGGCAATTGATCTTCACATTAGCCCCAGCAGCTGAGCTTAGAGCTTCCCTGTGGGTCACAGATTGCAATCAATGAAGAGGGAGTAGAAATGGTGTTGTGTTTTCCTATGTTCATTTAAATTACACATTCATTGTCATCATTTTTCTTTCACACCACCTTGTACTACATCAAGCACTAAGTACACTGATGTTTGAGAATGGTATCCTGGTCCTTTATATTGTGGCTCTTGGTGCAATTTACCTAGACACTGATGTCATCCACTTCCAAACAAGCATTTTATATAAATAGGCACGCAAAGAATACTATACAGTATGTAAAATGCTTTTTTTGTTTTGTTTTTACAAATATTAAAAAAATGAGAGTGGAAGGTTGAGGTGGCACATAATACAATACAGTACTCTCAATAAGTGAGGGGGGGGGGGGGTAATGGTGGCTTTGTCTATGGCTGACATTATACAATGCATTTAATTTCAGCTATCTTTCTCTAATACAATTATACCAGTACATGTGGACAAATTCCTTCTCCATATTTTAAGCAATACTCACTGCTTCCTACAAGTCCTTACAATTGTTGGGAGTATTTGAATTACCTTTGAGTATACAGTAATATATATTTGGGATTAACCTGTCATTCATCACCTAGGCAGCCCATTTATATTATGGGGTGCACTTTGAACAGGTTAAAACTTTTTTTTCAGTGCCTTTTAGTCTTTTGAAGAGTACAGTACAGTACAGTACAGTACAGTACAATACAGTACAGTACAGTACAGTACAGTACAGTATATCTGAATAAAAGTGAGAGTTGGATAACACGATGGAGATGGGAAGACTAAGTAGATGGAAGGATGAGATGAAGAATGCACGAAAAAATGTTGTGATAGATGAATGTCCAGGTAGCAGCAGTGTACCTGAGTAACCAGAGAGTATGGTGTCAAGTGGTTCTGTGGATATCACAAGAATTTAAATGAATAGATGGCAAAAATGAAGAGAGTCGGTTTTAGCTCTCATTTCAAGTCATTTGCAATATATAGTAGTGGGAGAGAGCTTGCAAGAACAAAAACAATTTATGTCAACCCAAATAGTGAATTTATCCTTGTCAAAAACTAAGAAATATTTATATCTTGCCAGCAAGTTTCATACCAGTAATGCTATATTAGAACTGTTACTGTGAATGACTAAAATGTTCATTTCATTAGTGTAATTCATCATCACACATTATTAGTAAATTATATGTCTATGTCACAGGTAAGGCTTACCCCCAGTTACACTTTCTTGTTGGCGACATTTTGGGTACAGTCACAGGAGATGATGTTAATGATTTGGAGAATTGTTATTTAATTCTCAGGACTCTGTATCATGCACTACTTATAATGTTTGGTTTGAATTTTGAAAATATGCTGGTGGTTGTTAGTCTTGTGTTACATACACAATACCACAGATCTGTGTCCAGATTTCTTGTTTTATTGATGAAGATTTTCTTTTTGGGTAAGTTAACTTTCATGTTTTTTAATACCCCTGTACTGTAATGAAGGAAATGTTTAATTTCAGCCATTTAGTGTGAAATATAACCTGTGTGTGCAGAATTAGATCACTGAATAGGATGGGCATCCTTTACAGATCAGCCTGACCACTGGTGGTCAGAGTACCAGCGGAGGAGGAGCCCTAGAAGTTGGGAAGAGCCAATCTACTATCTACGATTTGCACAAGAATCCCTTCTATTCTTACTCCAATCCCGAGAAAGATATTTTGATACGAGGCAGTTACACTTTCATGGGGAAGAAAAAAAACAAAAAGCCATATTCATGTGCACAGTGTCCATATGCTACTGCTTCAAAGAGTAATCTCGTCATTCACCTTCGTACTCACACTGGGGAAAGACCATATTCCTGTCCTCAGTGTTCATTTACTGCTTCCTTTGAATACAATCTAAAGGTTCATATGCGAACCCACACAGGAGAGAAACCATACACATGTCCAAATTGTCCTCTAAAATTTTCTCAGAAAGCTCACCTTAAAAATCATATTTTTACCCATACTGGGGAAAAGCCATTTTCCTGCCAGATGTGCACAGCTAGATTCAGCCGAAGGAGCAATCTGAGGAGACATATTAGGACACACGAGTAAACTCTTCTGTGTAGCATAGGATGATGTAGCTTGTGATAGAAGCATGTAACTAATACAGGAGTCATAATGCATGAATGCTGTACAGTATTTTCATTCCATTTTTAGATTTTCGTGGCATGCTGAAGAGCCTG